TCGGACCGGCTGTATATGATATGACTTGAAAAAGAATGTGTGCCACTAATGGTAAATACAAGACAGGGTTACGTTTTAAATACAGTAAAACCTCGTTATAACAAAGTTGATGGAGTGGTCGTAATTATTTTGTTATAACCATTAGTTTGTTATAGCCACTATCCATTTCTTCCCACTATTAGCAAGCAAGAGGAAGTATGATTGCTTTGTTATATCCATTAGTTTGTTATATCTCATTTTGTTATAACGAGGTTTTAGGATGGGCGGGGAAAGCGGTATACGTTTGAAGATGGATAGAGGGATTATCAGTTACCACGTAGCTTAATTAGGGGTCTGAAACGTGCGATCTGCGACCCTAGTTTCTCGTCTCTCGGGTAATGGGGACCGTTTCAGCCGATCAAAGATTTAGTGAACGTCGCCTATTTATTTCTCTTCAGACATTTGAAATGTCGTTGTTGCCTTCCATAATCTCCTCACTCCGACCTGTTGCTTTCCCCACGAGCTGTTGCTTCAAAAAACATGATTTTCATTCACTCTGACACCGTACGAGAACGCTCCGCGTTACAAATGTTTGCGTAAAAATGGCGTTTGAAAAACAGTCAGTGTTTTCCCAGGACACTGGGAAAGCAAACAGATTTATGTCCCAAGAGCCTCGTCAAATAACAGTTAGCTTACAAAAAAATGTTTTTTCTTTTCTGAAAATATGAGGCGCTATTAGTTTTATACATTCCTTTATTCTTCCCCGACCTTCTGATCACGAGTTCGTGTAATGTGCGGGGCCCGAGGAAAGGCAAATATTTCGAACGAGGGACGTACAAATGCCATATACTCTTGCGTTCACGGACATCCGAATGTGCTGGCGAGAGTTGCTCCTTTTCCATTGTTACTGCGTACAGCGCGTTCAGTGCGCCAGAGAAAGAGCAGAGAGGGGGCTCCCCGCTCTACTCCGTTTCGCCTTAGGGCGCCCAGCGGATGCCACGAGCCGTCCCGGCGAATCCAGCGCCGTTAACGTAACATATGTGACCACGCGCCCTGCACCTCCCGAAGGTGACGCGTCTTTGACACTGACAATCCATTGGACTGGCTGGGACGGCTCGCAGCCCTCTGCGGTACATCGTAAGGTGAGAGACAGAATATAGACGCAAGCGATCCTGCTAGCCTTTGCCTCTCCCCGCTAATCCTTCCAACCAAAGCTTGGCGCTCTGACGACGTCGCACGCTCTCATCTTCTCCTCTCCTTCAGTTTCTCTCCGTATAAGCCTCCACAAGAATAGTAATAATAATAGTACTACTACTACTACTACTACTATCACTGCTCCTACTACTACTATTACTACCAGCAGGGATGGGCAGCATTTGAAATACGCATTTCAAATACTTTGTGTATTTTGCATTTGTATTTAATTACAAATTGGGTAATGTATTGACGTGTGTATTTAAATACTAAAATGTGGGTATTTCAAATACAATTGTAATTAAATGCAATTTTGTGGGCGAAAATATACATCCCTCAAATTTGTAGTCACTGTCCAGAGAAAAAAGAAAACTACGCCGTCTGCACCAAATGCAGAGTCTCACAGTCAAGCACAAGCGTTTAGTGACTTTGTGATTACGGTGCTAGTCCAGGGCAAGAATAGTGACGAAATCGACGTTCACGGGCAGACTGGCTAAATAAGTGCCCGTGGCAACTTGTGATGCTTTCCAGCCTGATTTCCATCCACATTTTTGCCTGGAACATTCTAAAAGCACGGGTCGTCCAGATTTTCGTAACTGGTGCGAGTTTCAACAATAAAAAATTCTCTCGCTAGTGCTGCGCATCTTGGTCGTCTCGGTTCTTTGTTGGTCTATACCAAAATGTAATTGACAAAAAAATCTGCTTGAAGCTCTGTACTTTGCTCACCTATTACGTCCAAACTGATTACATTTTTTGTGATTATATTTCTATTACGTTACTATCGCACTCTAACTCCCGAGTGTGCGATGCAAAATTAAAATGAGATACCCAGAAACCCGTTGCAGGTGCCCTGAAGTCGCTGACGCAAATTTTGAGGAATGTATTTGGAAAAGTATTTGGAGGAGATCAAATACATTTGATTGTATTTGTATCTTGTACTTAATTGTTTTTTTGGAAATGTAATTAGATTTGTAATTAAATACATTTTTGACGAAGTATTTTGTATTTGTATTTCGATACATATTTGCATGTATTTTGCTCATCCCTGACTACCATGCACGTAGCCAGGATTTTGTTTCGGGGGTAGGGGGAGGGGGGGGGGGGGGGCGCCCATGACAACATATGCTGTATGAGGGGTAGGGGGAGAGGAGGTCCCAGCGAAATGGAAGATTGGGGGGGGGGGGGCGGGCCCCATGCCCCCCCCCCCCCCCCTTGGCTACGTGCCTGACTACTACTCTACAACTACTTTATTGAGACTTTCATAATCGGCTGATTTTGATTTTGTGTGACTTCAACGGTTTGCTGTTATTCCCCGTTCTTCCCTTTCCCGATTTCGACGACAGGCCGCGGTGGTTTTCGCTGCAGACTTGTGCTATCGCGAGCTTCCCATCTCTAAATGTCACGTCTTTGACGCCGGGTGGCGTCCCCTCCTCTGGAGTTGCGAATTGGGTCGTCCCTCCAGGGTGTATGAAGGCGCTCTAGTTATTATCATACCATCAGCAACATAAAGACGGCCTTTGCCTATTTACGTTTCTCCAAAGGTGTACGGTCACCCCGCATGTTTATACTTCGTTCCGACGTAGCCGACGCTACGAGCTGGTGTGACCACACAGACTGCGTCAGAACCGCACCTCGTCGTGGTCTATCATCGCTGAACCAATCAACCAATCATAAACCGAAAATGACTAGTGACTTGCGCTTTTGACGCTGTTTGATTGGTCCCATTACCTCGTAGCGTCGGCTGCGTCTGGACTTACGCTGAAACAATGTATAGTGTCGCGAGCATCCCTCTTGTGGTTTGCAGTCAAGAGGTGGCGCGTGAAAAAAGGGTCGCCATCGCGACAACCCCGTTCCGTGACAGTTTGAGTCCCTGATCTCTCGGTCCACATCGTGTAGAAGGAAGACCAAGACTTCCGTCCGCATCCTGCGGCTGCCGAGATGGCACGTCAGTTAGTTCTTCTGAAACAAGCAGATCGAACGCTATGCGAAGTCACGCTGGACGCTCTCCGAAGAAAGAAGGCAAAGCAAAACTATAACGAAATCCTGCTAGATCATTCTTTACTTGTTGATTCTTTTCTTCTTCTTCCACTCTGTAAACAGAGGACGGGGAGGAACCATGGCCTGGTGTGACCAAACGACACCTTCTAGAGGTTCAGCACCGTTCCAAAAAGTCCCCAAATACAAAATCCCAAATTAAAAGTAGAAAAAAGAAGTCCCACGGAGTGTGCAGATCCGAGTTCTGTGGTTCACGTGACCTACACTTCGTCTATTGTCTTCTACTTTTGTAGCCATACTTGTCTCTCCGCTGCGGTTGAGAAATATAACTCTGACAAATGCGGACCGCCAAGACCACGACAGCCGTGTCCCTATACATCGCCACATCGTAGACATCGACATCGCCGGTCGTTCTCGTACCTTCCAAAGTCGTGCCCGTGAACCGGACCGATCTCCAGAGGAGACGATCACGTTTCGAAATTCCGAACCAACTACCTTTTGTTTTATGTTTTGGACGTTTCCTTTTTTCCTTTTTTTTTTTTCAGCCTTCCTCGCGTGTTCTCTCTCACCAGCAGCCACATTAAAGCGGGCCATCGACTTCACGACATCGTTCTAGCACCAAATATCGTCTGCTACTCGGTTTACCCTTTGTCTGCTAAAAGTCAGGCTGGGGTTTCTCTCCTTTATTTTCATCCTCGCTCTCTGTGACGTCACGCGGGACCCCGTTCTCTCGCAACGTGCGCGACTTGACCCCGCCTCCCTCCGTGAGCCCTTCTCCAAATTTAGCCCTAACTGGACTCATTCGGGGGCGGGATTTGATCGCGGAGGCTGGGCCCGTTCGGATCGTCCCTTTCCCCGCCTGGGCCGAACCGGTGATCGGTCTAGTTTCGTGGAGAAGGAGTCCTATATAAAAGCTTGGGACCCGTGGCGGGGAACGCAGTTTGGCTTTAGCGCGTATCGTCCGCTTTCTTAGTCGGCGTGTCTTGGAAGCTTCGTGGATCTGTGTGTATAGGTCGGCGGACTGGACTTTCGACGAAGGTTTCCTTCTTTTTTTTTGGGGGGCAAGGGTTTGTTTTGTGGAGACGCTGGAATCAACGCGAAGTTGGAGTTTCCGCCTGCGACACTGAGGCTACAGACACTAATCGCAACATCATGAAGGTGAGACTTTACCGCTAATTATTGCATTTTATTTCAAGTGGGTCACCCCTTGTTTGCGAAGAAATATATGCGAGGCTATGTTTCATGAATGGGGCCCATAAATCAATCTCTACAGATGGAGGTTTTGTCGAGCAGCTTGATTTTTGGAACCCTAATAATGTCAGCCGCTTCATAAAAATAAAACGACAATTGTTCTAATTATTGTTTTGCAGTATTCAAATATGTTCTGTAAAGCTACTCAAGCCTCACTTTCCACTGATCTCAGAAGCATTAAGACCAGTACGTCTGTTCGAAATTTTGAGTCTAAATGCTAAAAAGAAGAGAAAATATCACAAGATCGTGGAGGCATTTCTTCTTGTACGCGTGAGGCACTAAATTTGCTTACACCTAATCCGGAAGTTACGTCCGTTTAACTTAAATGTAGCAACCAACATTAGGAGTACCTTTACACGAAAGTAACTGAATCGTCACGACGGCATGGTACTAAATGTAATATTAAACATGACCAGTTAAAGACAACGATTGTTTTTTTACAAAGGGCGTCACAACAACACCTTTTACCGTTAATGCCAATGATGGTACTATGCGCGGATAGTGCAGAGTGAATTCGGAGTAGTATGAACACATGTTGAATACATTTCGAAACGGGGCTCTCTTTTTGGTTTCTCTTTGCGATGCAGAGACCACAGCTGGTTCTGGGAGCCCTGGCCCTCTGCTTGTTAACGCCCTCTCGCTCGGAATCCAACCCCTCCGACGCGGCGGTCGAAGGTCCCGTCCACCGAGTGCCGCTCTCGGCTCTACAGACCTCCGAGTCCGTCTCGTACCACGTCCCCGCCGCACCTCCGGGTTCCAACCAGGGAGGACCGTCGTCCCACCACACACTCTACCAGTCGCAGCAGAGTGTCACCTCCTCTCCCCCGCACCGTCGGTTTCCAGCCATTGCCATGCTGTTCCCGACGACGTTAACGCCGTACGCGTCGCCACCTTCCTCGTCCAGTATTCTCCACCACCACCTCCGAGAGAGTTCGGGCGTTTCCACCAAGTACCAGAGCGCCGAACAGTACGAACCACCGCGACGGCCGTCGACTTCGCAGTTCGGCTCTGAGCTGCCACGTCCCGGACGCCGGGAGCCCCAGCAACAACACCATCATCATCAGCAGCAGCAGTCGCAACACCAGCACACCTACGGTGGCTCAGTGCTGCCTAAGCTCTCTTCGCCGTACAGCAGTTACGCGCAGGGTCTGTCCATGGACCAGGCGGAGAAGCGGCCTCAAGACTTGTCGGCGTACGAGGCACCTCCGGTCGTACCGGACGCACCCCCGAGGTTCCTCTACGAGCGCCCCCTGGTAGAGCACGAGCGAAGTCACGGGCGGCCCATGACCTCGCTTGTAGAGTCGTCTCACTACGAGCAACAGCAGCCGCGGGAGAGGCCCTCGCAGCAGCAGCAGCAGCAACAGAGTTCGCTCTACGGCTCGTCCAAGTACGCCACTTCGGCGCAGCTGAGGAACCAGTACGCTCCGCAGGTGGTCACCGAGAAACCCTTAACTTCGCCGCCGCTGTCCAGCTACGTCAGCAGGCCCGTGGTGAAGTACAGCAGTTCTCCGTCGCAAACAGCGTCCGGATCCTCGCATTCTTCGTCTGCTTCGGGGGCAGCAGACGACACGTACGGGATGCAGACGTCCTATCACCGCTCTTCACGACCGGAGCTTCAGCAACAGCAACACCAGCAACAGCAGCCGGAGTCAAGGATGCCGGTTCAAGAAGAGCAGACGCAGCAGCAACAACAACAACCCTCGAGGAAGTTGCACCCATCGCAGCCAGAAACTAGTCCCATCTATTCCAGGTAAGCGGGCATCAATCTCCCTTTTTTTTCCTTATTTTTATATGGGGAAGGGGGGTGCAATTTTGTTCAATGGTACGGCCGACCACCTGCATGAAAAACACTGAAAGGCTGCACTTGAGCAAACTTAGCGGTAAGGTGTTGCTGAATAATACACTTCAGGCGTAAGTTGGAATTCGCCCGCCCTACAGCATGAATTTGTTGATGTTACATTTTGGGGTCCTAAAGGCTGAACTCCATGGAGCGAATTATGCGACGAATAACTGACGAACTTCGCCCGATGGGATGCTCGATTTGCGCGTGTCATAGTGGCCACGGTGCTGATGCCCCGCGCAGAGTAAAAGCCGCCGAGCGAAAATCGTTGACTCTTCGCGACATATTCGCCCCATGGAGTACAGCCTTTAACCTAACCGTCGTCATACGTTAGAGCCCTTAAAAATAACCCTTCCTTTTTTTCTTTTTTTTGAAACCTGCGGGTTTGATAAGTTGCCATGAATATCTTCTCTCGGGAACATAACATACACCAGATATCACAACTAAAATAAAATAATATTTAAAACGTGTATCGCATTGTCAAAAATCAAAAATATACTTAGACATAAGACGAGTTCGTAATAAGGTCTTGTGATTTTCTTTTTTTTTTTTTTTTTAGACATCCGGTTTGCGATGGGTTATTCCGAAACGCAGGTTGGTTTTCCTGCAGTTAAACCGCGCTACGCGGCAAAGCCAACGCACCTGGACTGTTCTATCTACATTGCTGCTATTGCTGCTAACGCAACGACCACTTGTGTGTTCTGGTGTCGCTCACTCGTGCAATTTGTTTCTCTGAGCCCTCGCCTCCCGGTTACAAACGTTAACATAAAGCCTTGCAAAAAAAATTTTTTTTTTTTTTTTTTTTTTTTTTTTTACGAGTGAAACTATCGCCGTGAGTGGAAGCTGATCAGCGCACAATATTTCAAAATGTGGGACTGACCGTTGCCGGATTCGTGTAGGCGGGTTCAGCATGCACGGGCGCGTACTTCGTGAAAATTTTGCACCCATGAGTTCAAACCTGCATGGCAGACGTCGAACTGCCCCCTCTTTTAATGGCTAATAATCAATGCGAAGCATGGCCTACGACAGTGTTTGCGTTGGCTTCGTTGAAGCGTTGCTCAGATTTCGGGATGACGGAAATTTTACCATAATGGATGATCTCGTTTAATGCCTGGGCACACGCCTTGAATCGTCTGTCTTAACTCTTTGAGCTGAGCAACAACTGCCGGGCTAGGCTTAATGCCCCTGAATAAAAAAGGTAGCCATCTTCTCCCTCCTCCTCTGACGCGCACACCTTTTATCTTTACGTTTTGCTTTTCTACAGCCGCGCCTCGACTGTAGCGCCGCCTGGATTGGCCCAAGAAAGCAGACGGTCTTCCTATACTTGAGCCAGAGCACAGTCAGAGTCTGAAAAATACGCAAATAAATACACACAGGCTAAAAGCGCTCTGTCACGGTCTACCAGCCGCGAAGGATGTGCTCAAAGACGATGAAAGCCGTGACGTCGGCGTTATTCGATTGGCGACATGAGCTCATAGCATGCAATGCATTCCGACAGCATAGGCATTCCTTCTCCCTCCTCCCCTGACGCGCAAACCTTTTAAAAACATGACACGAACACAATGATGGTGCCCTTTTGACGCTCTCAGATTGATCCTCTCAGCTCATGTCGTCGGCCTGATGAAGCGATGAATGTTCATGCATGTACCCTTTCTAACGGGCGGTAGCTTGCGCCACCTAGCCTAAAGCTGCGTCTGGACTTATAAGGTGAATTAAAGTATATAGTGTACTGCGTTTAACAGAGCATGCCAAATGGCAAAAACCACTGTCCCAGTGAGCAAATAAGAACGTCTGAGCGAGGCGCGTGACAATGCTCCAGCCGCACTCCGACGCTCCTATTGGCTTACTGTGTTTATTGTTACACCGTTTTCAAGCTGCGCTTAAGCGGTGTATAGGCAAGTGGCAGTCGCCTCGATATAGTAGCAGAAGTAGTAGTTCTACTGCAGCCAACGTCAATGTGCAACAACGAAAAAAAAAATGCAGTGTTTTTGTTTTGTGAGTTACTTTGCAACCTCGACCGACCTGTACGTCCGCCCCTGCGTTGCAAAGTTCCCCTGTTGTGTAAAGCATCTTTCGGTTGTGATTACATTGTTGTCAACGCCTTCGTTTTGATTCCGTGTTTTTGCCGCAGATACGGCAGGAACTCTCAGGAGAACACGCGTCTGGAGGAACCCCGGGGAGAGTCCGCCGAGAAGTCCCAGCCGGCGCCGGCGCCGTACCAGAGCTACCCGATGGGCCTGTACGGCGCCTCGGACGGCGGCGGACGCAACTCCAGGCGCCGCTACAACCTCGTCTACATCCCCGTCGACGTCCTCAAGAAGCTCCTCACGGAGGCCGGCTACAAGAAGAAGAAATAGACACACTGCCTTGCCGCTTGTGTACTTGGAACTCGGGTGCATGGTGAACGCGTTTTTTTTTTTTTTTTTTCGATAATTGTTTGGTTGTGTTGGAGTTTTTTTTTTTTTTTATTCTTCCCTCTCGGCTTTTTTGAGAAGCCCGATGTTGAGGTCGAGCGTTTCGTAGTTTACCCGGCATTGTATTTAGTCACTGACAGAGTGAGAACGGCGGGGCATGTCATTGGAACAGCCGGTCTCCAGCACGCCCTCCATGCCTTCCGCCCTGCTTCAGCTGCGCCCGCGCCAGAGGTGCACGAGCATAGCCTCCTATATACTGACAAGGCCTGGCAGATCGCCACGAGAAGCGGCCGCCGAAATGAAAAAGGTGGAGCGGCGGACAACGGATGAAATGAGAGCGACGTGACTGGCGCCCCGCTGCGGCGAGACGCCAAAACACACTTCTCCCGAGTGAATAAGTGCGTTTCGGTTCCTCGCCGCTGCAAAAGCTGTGCGCTGACGTTCAGGTTGCCCGAGAAATGACTCTTTGATGCTCTGTGCTACCAGATCCTCGCGCTCCAAATCTGCGACCGGGTACTCCATGGCTTCGTCGTTGAACTGCCAGGCTTTGTGAGTATAGAGGAGGCCATGGCACGAGACGTTGAGGCGCTGTCGAAGGTAAGACGCCCGTGGTGGAAACGGGACAACTGAGGCTCCTCCTCCCCACCACTCTCACCTTGTCGGCGTCTATAACTGCCGCCAGAACAATTTTATGTTGTGAGTCTGGCCAGTGGACCCACAGTGTGGTCAAAGAAGATTTAGCCTTCGGACTCGATGATACGAAGATGGCGGACAGGCTGTTTGTTTTTCTTTGTTGCCGGACTATTATCCAGTCTCGACCGCTACACGTTGTCTGCATCTTCAGACGACCGTGCCAAGCTCTCCCTGGTGTAAGGGGTTCTCAATGTCTCACAAACCTCTTCTTTTTTCTTTTTTTTTTTTTTTCGTGCGCTTGTTAGCGATTACGTGGCGGGTCACGGATACGGCGATGATGGTGTACCCACAGCCCGCATCATCAGGAAAGGAGAATTGTGGTATGGTCACCTTTGAGTGTTTTTTTTTTTTTTTTATGTACAAATAAAGTGTACATCTATGTCAAAAGCTCGGTTCGCTCACGTTTCTTTCTTAGAAAAAATTGTAAGGGTGCAGGCAAGCTGGTGAATATTAACCATGTTGAATTAACCTGAGACTGGGGTAGAGAAGAAACATCAAAACGTAGAAGGGACAGAAAATAGACAGGACGACGTCTTAAACTCAGCTAACTCGTTTATATAGGCCACCTCTTTATATAGTCTCAATCTCAAGGCCATCTCCACCAACACAAACGAACAAAGTCTATACAGTTCAAGCGCCACAGTCTTCATCACACAATGCAAGAACGTTGACAACCTTTACAGGTCGACGCGATAAGGCAACATCCATCCACCTTCAAACTTGAACAAAAGGATCTCTTCCCCCACTATTCTAAACACAGTTCATACTTCTGAATCATAACACGCCCTTTCCACATAAAAATAAAAACACTGAAACGGTAGTTGGGATAATACACGTAGAGAACCACATAAAGCAAAAATGTTCTACAGGTTTTTGGAAAATCACAAGCAGGTCGCACTTCAAACAACCTAAACGGCGAATAAAAAAAAAAAGTGATTACATTTTGAGAAAGCTTTTTGAATTGCTTTCAAGCTCTAGTGAAGCCTGACTTATGCAGTTGCCTAGAGACTTTATCCGCACGGTCTCCCTTACTACTCTTTACATCTATACACATTGCAGCCAGAATGGTTAACCCAGAAGGAAAGGTCGCTTTTATAGATTATGCAATCAGAAGGGTGGAAAAATTAATTGATGTAATGTACCCAAAGGACAAAAGAAATTTCAGAGAAGTCAATGCGGTTAAGAGGGAGTTCCAAACGAAGTCCTTAAAGTTGTTAGAAACAGATAAGTCCGGACGGTTTGCAGTCATACCTATGCCAGTATTCAAGAAAAAAACAGAAACGGATTTGGCTACATTGTTTTCGGAATAGGAAGGGAACATTGGAAAGTTGAAAAAAAACATTTGTGCAGTTCTGAATGAGGATGAATTGAAGGAGGTAGCAAAATGTATCACAAGTGCAATGAATTCAACATTGGGCATCAAGATTTTCCTAAAAGACCATAAGCCTGAAATGCCCCTTCGTGCGGTCATCAAAGAGGGTTCCCGGACATTTCATCGAACGCCGTTTCGTCGAACACCGTTTCATCGAAAAAATGGACGTTTCATCGAACGCCGTTTCATCGAAAGCCGTATCATCGAATCGCTGACGGCCGTTTCATCGAATGTCTTTTATATAAAAAATGTGAAAGGTGCTCTTTTCTGTACGGATCGAGTGCATTTTCGTGTCATTCTCCCATTTCATCTTCAGGTTTTTTGACGTCCAAACTTCTAGCTGTTGCAATTTATTTTGATGCAAGTAACCCATGAGGATGTTTGTACCGATTTTTATGTTTGTTTCGCATATTGTGCTTATCTGTTCACCCCTTCTGTATTGCTCGATGAGCCTTGAGGGTGTTGTAACAAATGAATAAAAAGTCGCACTCCCGGTAAGAGCGCACTCCAACTCATGGAGGCCAGAAGGCGACTTAGGTTTTGTGCAGGCGCAACAACTTAAGCCATGTGAGCCTCCTAGCCTCTCATGTCTTGCTATTGATACTTTGTTACTGCCCGAAGCTTGCAGTAGCTAAAGCTGAGGTGCTATTTATGAAACTACAACGAAACATTTTTTTTTTTGTTTTAAGATTTAATGAAGTCAGAAATAAGTACGCCACTTCAAATTTTATTTTAAAACTTTAAGGAGGTCATGTATTCGTGCGACAGCCATTCACCGTTTCAAATGATGAGCAATTCCTCTCAAAAAGTCCACCACAGCCATGCTCCGTCGGTTCTCATAAAAAAGGCGGAGCTTCTCATTTCTTGCCGCTATGGCCTTCTTCTGGCGAGGAGGCTCTTGGGAACTCAGCATCGCGTCCAGCTAGTCTTCCGTCAGTTGATGTTCTGCGGCGATGCAAGCCAAAAACTTCCAGAACCCCGGATGGGCACCTCCGACCAGCTTCAGGAAGCGGGAATGTCACCCTGGCGTTAGATAAGACGGCGTTCGATGAAACGGCATTCGATGAAACGGCTTCGATGAAACGGTGTTCGATGAAACGGCGTTCGATGAAACGGCATTCGATGAAACGGCTTCGATGAAACGGCGTTCGACGAAACGGCGTTCGACGAAATGTCCGGTCCCAATCAAAGAGAATGGGACTGGGACCGGACATTTCATCGAACGTCGTTTCGTCAAACGCCGTTTCATCGAATGCCATTTCATCGAACGCCGTTTCACCAAACACCGTTTCATCGAAGCCGTTTTATCGAACGCCGTTGTATCGAACGCCGTCTTATCGAACGCCAGGGTGGCATTCACGCTTCCTGAAGGTTGTCGGAGTGGCCCATCCCGGGTTCTGGAAGTTTCTGACTTGCATCGCCGCAGAACATCAACTGACGGAAAACAAGCAGGATGGGATGCTGAGTTCCCAAGAGCCTCCTCTCAGAAGAAGGCCAAAGCGGCAATAAATGAGAAGGTCCGCCTTTTTTATGAGAACCGATGGACCATGGCTGTGGGGGACTTTTTTAGAGCAATTGCTCATCATTTGAAACGATGAATGGCTGTCGCACGAACACATGAACCCCCCGAAAGTTTTCAAATAAAGTTTGAAGTGACGTACTTACTTTTAACTTCATTCAGTCTTAAAACTAAAAAAAAAAAAAAAAAAAAAAAAAACAATGTTTCGTTGTAGTTTTATAAATAGCACCTCAGCTTTAGCTACTGCAAGCTTCGGGCAGTAAAAAAGTATCAATAGAAAGGCATGAGAGGCTAGGAGGCTCACACGGCTAAAGTTGTTGCGCCTACACAAAACCTAAGTCGCCTTCTGGCCTCCATGAGTTGGAGTGCGCTCTTACCGGGGGTGCGACTTTTTATTTATTTGTTACAATACCTTCAAGGCCTATCGGGTAATACAGAGGGAGTGAATAGATAAACACAATATGCGAAACAAACATAAAAATCGGTACAAATATCCTCATGGGTTACTTGCATCAAAATAAATTGTAACAGCTACAAGTTTGGACAATAAAAAAACCTGACGATGAAATCGGTGAATGACAGGAAAATGCACTCGATCCGTGCGCAAAAGAGCATCTTTCACACTTTTTATATAAAAGACGTTCGATGAAATGGCCTTCGATAAAACGGCGTTCGATGAAACCATCATTTTTTTTGGTGAAACGGCGTTCGACGAAACGGCGTTCGATGAAATGTCCTGGAACCGAGTGGGACATGGCAGAAAGGGGTGTTGGACAAAATGGTTCCGGTCAGAATGGTCCCGGTCAATATGGTCCCGGACAAAATGGTCCCGGACATAATGGTCCCGGACAAAATGGTGCCAAGTGCCAACCCCGACAAAATGGTCCCAGGTGAATTTGTCAATACTTTGAGAGCTCTTGATAGGACAAAATGGTTTGGTACTTTGAAATTTATTTCGACACACGTTCAAGGATAATATTAACGTCTTCATTATAATCATTTGAAACAAATTTTTAATCCCTTTTATCTGTAGCATGTAGCTCTCTTTCTCAAAGGTTCTTGATTTCTACCGATACATTTTACGTGTGTAATAAATATCTTCGTATCGCCAGAACCTGTTTTCAAATTAGCGCTATCGAGCTTGAAAACGATATCCGGAATGAAAATTATTATCATACACGTACTACAGCTTCTTAACGCGGTTTTCTGAAATGAACCTATCGTGCCACCGTGTTCCGTTTTTCAGAAATAACATCGCTCTGTCCGAACAATGTATATTAAAGAAATCAAAAATTGGTTTCGCAAGTATGAGCGTATTTATTACATAGACCACTTAACAGACAAGAAGTCGACGCTGCT